GTGTGGGGGGGGGGGGGTGTCATGGGAGTCCCTCCCCTATGATTATGGGGGGGTGAGTTTCATGGGGGGGAGGGAACTCAAAAGGCACACAAGGTATGCACCACACTATCGAAGACCTTGCTGGGACTAACAGCTGCTGCGGAAGGAGAATCCAAACTCATCTGGAAAATGCTGAATGTAGAGGGGGGTTGCTTGGATACCTCCATGTTGCTCCCTCCAAAGTCAAATTAAATCTCCTTTGTATGGAACTCTACAGGCTGGGGGGCAGGGGGGGGCGTTGAGAGAGAGAGAGATCCTTTACCTCTGGGTTTGAGCCTTGTTTGCTCATCAGCCACGTTCACCCTGTACAAAGGAGTCACAACCGCTTGGCACAAAGCCGTAGCCAAAGTTAAGGAGCCCGTCGTCCACGGACAGAACTCAGCGGCTGCTGGATGAAACATCTTCCTCAGCGGCTGCCTGCCCAGCTGAGGGCTGCTGGAGGGCAGGAGGGCTGACAAAGAGAGGCTGCTCCTCGGCATCTCCCGCTCACCTGTCATCGCAGTAGGTAAACTTCATGTCCATGGTGTGGCGGCTGAGGAAGGTGCCGCTGTCCAGGGGCGTCTCGATGTTGGCGGGGTGCGGGATAGCCTCACAGATGAGCACCAGGCATCGCAAGGGAGGCTCCGCAAAGCCGCCTTCCCCTTCCTTCCCTGCAGCCGGCTTGGAAGGTGCATAGGAACGCATGTGCCCAGCGCAGTGCAGCACCTGGGAGGCGAGAGGAAGGAAGCCACGCGCAACTGACGGACGCAGGCAGGGCTAGGTTTGCCACCCACTTATTCCGACGTGCCCCTTCTGCGGGTGCTGAGATGGGCCCACGCTTCCAAAATTGTTCTTCCTTGGCCGTTGGATACCCTGTCCTGCCTTTCCATGTGACTGGGCCTTCCTGGGAACAGGCTCAACCTGTTTTCCATCACCGCAGCATCTGACAAGTCCCAGTGCTCCGAGACGCTGCCACCCAAATCACCAATCTTCAGCAGCGAGGTTGTTTTTCCCATTTCTCTTTTTCACAAAATAAAGCCAAAGGAGGCACACTAAACTACTACTGGGTTAGTGAAGTCAGCCTCTCTTAACTCCCCGTCACTGCCCCACCGAAGAATCAAGAGGGGCTGGAAATTGCAGACCGCTCAGGATGCTCCTTCAGGAACTGGGAAAGTAATCTTGTCCAGCGCAGCCCCGACTGCAAAAAGATCTGCCCTCTTCTCCGCTAGAATCCTGTTTCTTGGAGGGCCCAACCCCCCTCCCCAAATCTGCTCCTGTTCCTTCCCCCAACCCCTAGGAGTCACTCACTTTCCAGGTAGCAGACTTGAGGTTGACGGTGCGCCCCCTGGTGGTGAGAGTGCTCTTCATGCGCAATGAAAAATTGCGCTCGGTCTTCACTTCCGCCTTCTTGGAGAAACCTGGGGAGAGCCAGGATCAAGTGCTGATCAAGATATGGGCTGCCTGGACTCAATGGGCAGAGCAGGGAGGGAGCGGGATGGGACGCGTCCAAGACATTTGGTCCTGTTTCCTGGCTTTGGGGAACCAACCACAGAGGTGTAAGCAGAACAGGTATCTGGAGATTACTGAATGCTTAACTTCCTGTTTCGTTTTTTTATTTCTGTTTCAAAACATGGCAAATTGCACTGGAAAATGTCACGGATATAATTCAAGGAGGCTTCAAAGGGGGGAGGAGGAGGAAGAGGAGATGAAGGAGGAAGAGAAAATGGAGGAGAAGGAGGAGGAGGAGAAGGAGAAGAAGGAGGAAGAGAAGGAGGAGGAGAAAGAGGAGAAGAAAAGGAAGAAGAGAAGGAGGAGGAGAAAGAGGAGAAGAAAAGAAGGAAGAGAAGGAGGAGGAGGAGGAGGCGAAAGAGGAGAAGAAAGAGGAGAAGGAGGAGAAGAGGGAAAAGAAGGAGAAAGAGAAGAAGCTTCTGCTAGGGGACCTTATGTAGCAACCTACAATTTGAATACACCAGTGCAGAATTATGATGCGCTCCGATCAGACGGCACAGAGAGGCAAAGTGGCGAAGGAAAGGGGAGCGCAGGGGCCCTCTTTGCAATCTCCATTCCTAGTTTGCCCACCATGGCGAGCGGAGACTCACCCTGCCTCGGACTCAGTACATCTTGAAGCTCTTCCTGATCACAGGGATGGATGAAATCAAACACGCTGTGGCCAATGAGCTCCAGCTAGTGGAAGGAAGCAGGAAAAAACATGAGGCACATCGGAAAGCAGGAGGGAGGGGAGAAGCCGGGGGAACGCTGAGGCAGCACACTGCCTCGGCTAAGCCGCACATCAGCAGCACATCACCACATGCTTGCACGCGTGCCAGGGACTGAACATCTGCCAGGCACTAATGGACTGGCGGGACTCCCTGGAGCCGGCCAATCAGGAAGCCCTCCTCCCCCTCCCCTCTACGGCATTCGGAACTGTCAGTCAGGTCTCAGACGGGGAAGAACATGTTTTTCAAAAGGCATTTTGGCCCCCAGGCGAGAAATTTCTGCTTTCTTCCTTAGCCCAACTTTTGCAAAGGTTTACAAGGACTAAAAGCTTGTAAAAGTTTGCTTTGGTACAACTAAGACAGTGGGGCTATTGTTCAGGATGAAAGGACAGGATTATGGGCACTCAGTGTTTGGCCAAAAAAAAAAAAAAAATTAACTCATTCATCCAGCAACAACAGCAATGTGATTTCATTTACAAGACAAGAATAGTTAGAGGGGGGAAAAAATCAGGGAATTTTGCAAAAAGCCCAGTGCATTTGGGTAAAAACAGTTCATTTGAACTAGATTTCAGCAAAAAGGAGAATGCAATTCATTTGAAAGCATGGTTTGGAATATTTAGAATGGCCTTCTTAAACTTATCCGCCCACCCCACCCCGGCTCCCAAAAATTATCTAAAAGATAAAGTTGAAGCTTAACCCGAAGAACAAAAAGATCCATTCAAAAATCAGTCTGCAGGGGTGGGGGAGGAATTTTGATGTTAACCCCTCTGAAATTTGAATAGAAAATGCCAGCACGGGGTGGCATTCCACAAGACTGACTGAGAACCATTGTCTTAAATTTGGGAAATGCTTCCAGTGCACAACATCAATGAGAATGGATCATCTTTTGCTGAACTGCCCCCTTCCCACCTGTGCAAGCTCCTCCCACTTTCAGCTGGCTCTCTTTTGGATCTCACCTGGCTGAGACCCAGGTGCTTGTTGACATTCTCAGAGAGGTAGATCATGTCTCCTTCCTCAGTCAGGACCATAAGGAAGCCATCCAAGGCCTTCAGATAGTAAGCATCCACCTGTTCCTCAGCTTCTACTTGTTCTCGCCATTCTCCTGGTTAAGCAGAGTTTAAAAAAAAATGCTTTAGGACAAGGCTGGTTGAAGGGTGACTTCTCATGCCAAAGTTACAAGGCAGGGGTCCCTGCAGTGGGGTGGGGGTCAAAAAAGTCATGGTAGTGGCTGTAATCGTGCGATCCTGCCTCTTTTTTATATACAGTATGGAAAAGAATGTAAAAGTCAGCATCTTGACTTTTTTGATCCCTTCCTCCTGTAATTCTCTGCTTTTTTTGTTTTGATGTCTTTGAGTCAGTGTCAACTCCTGGCGACTGCCTGGACAAGCCCCTGCAGTTTTTTTGGCAAGATTTTCAGCAGTGGTTTGCCCTGGCCTCCTTCTTCCCAGGGCTGAGAGAGAAGGACTGGCCCAAGGTCACCCAGCTGGCTTTGCGTCGAAGGCAGGACTAGAACTCACCATCTCCCGGTTTCTAGCCGAGTGGCTTCACCACCACACCAAACTGCCTCTCTAACTCCCTGCATACAGCAGCAAAAGCTGGTACTATGCCAGTGGAGATAAAGCAAACCTTGTGGACTCACTTTGGGCATTGGGTTTATGGGGCAGAGTCTCTGCAATTCAGTTAAAGCATGTTTACACTCCTCGTGAGCGGGGTGGCACATTTGAAAATGCATGCATAGCGTTATCACAGCAGGAAATAGGTTTTCTTAGTATAGAAAAGACTTGTACACTTCAAAAGATATTAAGTTCTGGGAAAGGTGAGAACCTTCTAACCCCCTGAAAAGCAGGCTGGGGGGGGTCTAGACCTAAGACTGGGATGCAAACGGATGACACCCAGCTGCAAGTGGCCCCCAGCCCCTTTTCCACAGTCACAGAGGCCTCTTACGAACACATTGCTTGAAAGCAATAAGAGGGAGAAATAAAGAGGCATCTGTGTCCCTGGAAAAGTTTTCCCAAGCAAGCAAATAGAATGGAGAGCAGTTTCCTTCCCATCCTGTTGGCCAAGGGAACATCAGCAAGTGATTCCTACTAAGGGTGAAGAACACATGCATCACGAAGCCAAGAGGTCGGTGCTGGCAATTTTTGGAACCTGAGAATCTTTTACTATCTTTTAAGCTTAAAGCTCCCGGTTCTAAGCCAGATGTGCCCTGCTTGCTGGCTGGGTTAGGGTTAGGGTACTAGAAGTTGCCATCTAAACTATCTGGAGAACATCTGTTAGGATACCGTTATAGTCTTCCCCTAAGGAAACGTGGCAACCCTCACCAGAATTCAGCAGCTTATGCATCCTTAGGTAGCTAATGGTCAGCCGCATGATAGAGGCTTTGTCCAAGTGGGCGCTGACCCCCCGAGCAAAGGGCAGGGTGTGCGCCAGCTGGTAGAACACTTCCGTCTCCTTGCTGCGTCGGCATCGTGCTGCATCCCGCGATTTCTCCTTCCGGATTTCTGTGGTAGACCTGCAGAGCAAAAGAGAGGTGGACAATGAAACTGTGACCTGTGAGTGGGAATTGCTGGGTAGGCAGATTAATGGGGAACACACCAATTAGAACCAGAGAGATGTGGGTTCGAATCTCTACTTAGGCAGAAAATTCATTAGGTGACCATGGGCCTTTCAAATTTTCTCTCCTTCTCTGCCCCTATATCTCATCTCACAAAAAATATTGAAAAGCAGAGCAGGATACAAATATAAATCAGTATATAATATTATCAGCTGTTTTCTGGAGCTCTCTTTCTGAGTTCTGCTTCTAGATCTAAGATTGTAGATCAAGCAGGCAACTAACAACTTTTTTTGTGTACACATTTTTTTAAAGCAGTGTTTTTCAAGCTTGGCAACTTTCAGATGGGTGGACTTCAACTCCCAGAATTCCACAGCCAGCACGTTCACACATCTTAAAGTTGCCAAGTTTGAAAAACACCATTTTAAAGCATACTGTTTTTAAAGCATACTGATTTACAATCATTGAGTGACTGAGTAAAGAAATCAAGAGTCTGATCACTTTTAGCTTTCTGAAAAACAGAACAAGCAAAAAACAATTCTCATCTTTTCTTTAGACCTTTCAGACTTGATTTACAGAATATTTGTAGCTTATAGTGCCCCTAGTGCCCTGAAATCCCTGTGGACTTCAACCCCCAGAATTCCCCAGCCAGCATGTTCTGGGAGTTGAAGTCCACCCATCTTAAAGTGGCTGAGGTTGAGGAACCCTGGTGTAACACACCTACACTCTTCTTAGTCTAACCAATGAGGTTGTTATGAGTAAACACAACCCCATGAACACACCACCTCCTTTGATCACTCCTAAATATGCAGTTTGGGATAGCATGTTCTATCCCTGACATGGAGGTGCACACGCACTGCCAAAACCACGTTCGCAACCCAAATTATCACCTGTTTCACTTGTGATTCCCCACAAAGCCCACTAGAATAGGATTCTGAAGGGCACGGTTTCATTTTCACCCTCACAATCATTCTACAAAGCGGGTTGTGTGAGAGAGAGGTCTCTCAAGGTCACCCACCGAACTCTGAGGCTCACCAGGTTTTCCCAGTCCGTCCCACCCTCCCTCCACCTGATTTTTTTTCTCTAACCCAGTGGAGAGGCTCTATCGATTACACTGCAAAGGCGCACAGCTTCTTCGGCTTGCGTAAGCCCCTCTTCATGAAACGCAGGTCGAGTGATACACAGCCACGGTCAACCCCCTTCCCCACCCACATGCACCAAGGGTAGGTTCACACAACACGGTGAATCCCAAACCTGGGCTAATAAACCTCAGTGGCTGGGTTCACATCCCTTGCTGTGCCCAAACAAGTCAGACATAGTTGAGTTAACACGATGGCATGCCGATTCACGCAGGGTACTAAGGGACGGCCTGAGGGCACTACTGCATGACACCAGACGCAACGTAAAGATCCTACTCGCATAACAAACCCTTCTGCCCCAAATCCAGTTCCAGAATAACATCAGTTGCAAGTCCTTTCCCCCAGCTGAGCATTCTGGGAGGTGTAGTCCAAACCATCTGGAAGGCACCCTTTGGGGACGACCCTCTGCAAGCTCTCATGTGCAGAACTCCCACCTTGCAAGCACATTCCAAACCCAGGCGGACCCCACGATGACCCTGTTTAAACAAGCCCTTCGATGTGGCTCTTCCCCCGGTCTTGTGCGGGTTTCAGTTTATCAGGTGGCTGTTGGTTTCTTGGAGATTTTGGTCTTTTTAGGTTATCTTTCTCTTTGTTTTTGTGGTCTTTGTTGATAAGCTGTCCCAGAGTCATGACAGACTGGGGTGGCCTATAGATGTCCTAGAGCGATAAAGAAACCCGCCCACCATGGGCCAACGTCACAACCACAACTTGTTCCAAAACGCACAGGAACAGACGCTTGGGGTGGAAGAGAGGCAACCGTTCACAGCTGTTAATCTTTTGGCCCAAACGTGTCCTCTTGTTGGAGTTTCCCAAAGCAGATAAAGCGACCGAAGAGAATGAAGTGGAGGCAGAGTTGAGTAGGCAAAAATATGGGGGGGGGGCAGATGCCACCCCCAGTTGAAAAACAATAACTTTCCTACATTCAACTGCCTCCTCTATGACATATCCCGGCGCCCTCCCTTTTCCTTATTCTACCCTCAAAATTAAAGTTAAATTAAAATTAACCTCCCTTCAAATCTTCTCCACAATCCAACATGTTTCATACCCCTGGATCTAAACCACTACACCAACATGCTTCTCCAGATCCCACTGCTTTTTGAAACCCATATATCTTTTTTTCGCAGCCCCAGCGGGTTCTAGATACCCCATTTTGCAGGTTTCTTGGGTTCCCCTTTCCCCCAAATGCATCCTTTTTACATTCCAACCTTTGGAAAGATCTCCAAGCACCCTGGGTCCACTCTCCTGAGCCACCCATGTCTAGTTTGCAAAAAATGTCAGCGACAAAAATCCCCAAGACTTGCAAATTCCAGAAATGGAATGCCCGCAATGAAAACACGAACTTCTCGCCACAGTTGGCTCCACAGACATCCTACCCAACAGAGACCTGAACAAAACAACCCCACAAGCTCTAGGAAAACAGATTCACACAGTTTCTTAGCTTTTTGGCATGCTTCCACCCCAGATGGTTGGGTATATTGGAGTCCTTTGCCCTGGAAATGCCCTGGAACAGTTCTAGGATCTTCTGGAAGCCCACCAAACCACACATCTCCTATGAAGACACTGCACCCCACTGGGAAACCCTGAGGACTTGTGCTGGTGGACTGACAGAGCTCCCCAGAAGATGGTTCTACATACCACAGACACAATACAAGCTGGGGAGCCGGGAAGTTTGCCATGGCCTAGTTCCAGAAGGCCCTGCCCCAGGGGCTTTATCCAAGCACCAGAGGCCCCTTACCTGCACCATCTCCTGCCCCTTGGCCGCTTCCAGCGCCACCACATAGCCGATCTCTGGCTTCCCCCTTCGCTCCCTGAGCCGACCAAGCTGGACTTTGCACTTCCTGATCCTCCCACAGCTTCTTTCCACCATCCCTCCCTCTCCAGCCCTCTTCAGGGTACAGGCTGTTCCATTTCTGTGTCCTGGCACCCTGCCCATCATCCTGGAGCTCTGTTTTGCAGAGAGTAGGCAACGGTTTGCCACAAGGTATAGTGGTATCCTCTCTGCCTCCCGAACGGCTCCCAAGCAAAGGGGTCATCAAAGAGGCATGGCTGCTAGCCAGCCCAACCATGGGGTCATCAGCTGTGGCTGGCTGGCCGTGAGCGGGCTGGCCTCATCCCTGCCACATCTACCAGCCTTGTGAACATGCGCGTTGTGAGCGGGAGCCATCAACATCCACAACATAAATACTGGCTGGGCAAGTGAGAAGGCCAGGATGAATTCTGATGCAGCCTTACCTCCACAAAGCAGCAGAAGAGGAAACTCAGTGGGATGGACCCTCTTATCTCCCCCCAACCCTGCAGAATTTTCAAGGAAAAGCTCTGATCAGACTATGATTTATTTTTAGAAAGAAAAGTCCTGGAAGTAAAATCTTTTGCCTGGGATGCACAAGTTCAGAGTTAGATTCCGGGCAAGCGCATGCATTAGCGATAGACGCCTGCTTACCGGATGTGCCTGAAAGGAAGGCAACTCTAAATTTAAGACAATGACCCTCCCTTCACAGGAACAGGAGAAAGAAAAAACATCTCCCTTGCTACGTTCTCAGCAATTCCACAAGAAGTTCCCATTTTAAAAGCCAATTACTGGGGGCAAATGACATAACCTTCTTTTCAGGTAAAGGCAGAGTCTTCAAAAAATAGGAGGATCTGCTTGAATCCAGAGGTTCAGACTTTTTCCCAGGCTTATCTAGAGATGCCAGGACTGAAGGCAGAGTGCAGCCACTGGGCCACAGATGATCCCCAAAAGGTTTAGGGTTAGGGTTAGCAAATCCTTGGAGGGGTGACAGAGAGAAATGTCAGGGAGAGGTGAGATGGACAGGGACTTCTCCACCCTTCCTTACAATACCTGTATCCTTGAAGGCACTCTGCCTATGATCAGAGGAACTCTTTGCAAATACCTCCTTCCATATTCCAAAGACTTTCCAAGTCTTTTTCCAGGTAGAATCTTAATATGTTAAGCAGAAGACTAGTGGTCTAGCTGATTTTGCTCACAGACCATTGCCCCAAACTTTACACTGAATAAAACAGGCATAATTTAAAGACCCTGACAAAAAGATCTGCATTTGCATCAACTCCTCAGTTTTCATATGTCTTCTGGGGACCCCATTAGGAGGCCCACAAGCATGGCTTGAAGGCAACTGTCATGTTTAGTCCCAACATCAACTCTTCAGGGGTGCATTTCTCTGAGCAGTGAGTTGCATTTAACCAAGAGTCATTTCTTGGGTATGTCATGCTTACATTCTTTGTTTTAGCTCAGCTTCCATCTGTCCTGGACCCTCCAAATATTTGGGACTTCTCTTCCCAGAATTCTCAGCCAGATTGAACAAGTCAGGAGCGACCACTGCTTTATCCAACGCATTACTACTACTGACCTATGAACGGTCAACTGCATTATATATCACCACACACCTGGGAATGCAGAATTCCTGGAACCTCAACTTTCCATCCCCCCACCCCCATGGCAAGCTTCTAGTCCTTAAGGTTGTTTAAAAAAAACAAACTAGAGAGGTTGTGGGCAAGGATCCACATTACCTGCCTGGGAAGCTGTTTATGAATATTTTTTTCTTTGTTCTAATTTTAGTTCTAAAAAAAACCCAAGATCTCCTGAAGAGGAAAAAAGCTGCAATGGCAAAGCCCATGGGGGACTGAGCAGGTGAAAGCATGGTCAGAGCAGGGGAGGCGTCCGTCATCTTCACAGCTGCCCCCCACCCACCCCTTATCCCCAACTGCTGGTGCCCTATCTTGGATGCAGACTGCACCAAGACCCAGGCTCTTTCTGGGACATGTTCTGCACGCAACGGCATCGCTCGTCAGCAACTGGCGACGCAA